TTAAGTATGCAGTTTTGTAGCGCATTTTCTTCCATACAAAGTAAGCTCGACAAAATGTTCATATGAATAAAATGCCTAGCAATGACAAAAAAATTGCCAAAAATCAACAATATTTTGCAGCCACTTGAAGCTTTTTATTATACTAAAATTTAATGGGCTACAAAATTGCATCCCCGAAATTTTTCTAGAAAATACTAATTTATGCACTGCCGCTCACTTGTATGCTTTGAAATGCTTTCATTTTTTCAATATCATTTTGCTCCAATTTGCGCTATTTTTTTTTTGTTAAATAGACTAGCGTAAATACCCTATATTACAGCTAGATGCAATATCCAAGCCCCCTTCATTTTTCGTACTAGCCTCAAATTAAAATTTGATTAAAATTTTCTAACTTTTCTAATGCAATGTTATATGCATCCATTGAGAAAAAATCGAGTGTCGATTTTTAGGATCGATTCACGCATCGAATCGGAGCTAAAAAATCTACAAAAAATCGAATCGGAAGGGCTCGATTAGTCGATCTTCGATTTAATCGATTTAAAAACGGCATCTCCAGTGGATACATAACGTATGAGTAACATAATTTCCTTCTCATGTTTTATACTACAAAAAACAAACGAATTAATGAATTTCCTACTGTGTATTTTTAATCAAACAATTATTATTGCCATAGAAAACTAGATCTTTCTAGATTTTTATAAAATTTTCCAATAGAGCCACTGTGAAAAAAACACGAATGGGAATTTATTGAGAAATTCGTGGAGAAAGTTTTTGAATACATAATTATAATTAGCGAAAGTTTCCCAATTTTTTATATCTGGTTTCAAAATAATTTTCTTACTTTGGTAACGTCAAAGGTACCCATCTTTTTAGGATAATTTTCTTGTTTTATCATGACTCACATAATTTACTATTAATATCAGTGCTGGTTTTTGATTTTCGCTTATGTGAAAAATTTGATTCAATACCCATTAAAATTGAGTTCTGAACCATAGTCCATCGCCAGAGATAAAAATTAAAAACACAGTTTATTTGGCCCCTAGTTTCGTGAGTATACTTTTATTTATATCAATACATATCAAACAGGTATTAGCATTAGAGCAGAAACAATATTTGCGTGGATTTTGTTGTTGCTTCTGGTATCGAAAGTGTCAAAACTGTTCTGATTTTTTTCTCCTAAATCAAACCGTGCCATGTGAAATACAAAAAAAAAATAAAAATAAATAAATTGAAAAAAAATTTTGCAATTTTCTTTTTGAGTAAATTTGTTTGTTTCTCGAAGCATTGATCCAGCCTTCGCAAGGCCCACTAATCAGCGGTTGTGCTGCTGAGTTCGGCGAACGTTCCAAAAGCTGCTATTCAATAGCTGATTTTGTATGGAAAAAGGTTTCACGTGCAAATAGATTTTTACAATTTAGAATTTTTGTGAGAAGAAATTAAAAATATTTGACATTTTCGAGACCAAATAATTAAAAAAAAAAAACCCAAATCAGATACTCTACTGATACTACCGAATGCATTTTTTTACGGAACAGGTGAATAATGCCACTTTCAAAATAAATGGCTCATAAACATAGACAAGTTTAGTACATATCGTCACTACACACGAATAAAGGCGCGATAGTGTTTTGACGGCGAAAAAAGGCGCGTAAAAAAATTTTGCGAAAAAATATGCTTATGAAAAACTTCGGCGAAGTATGTTAAGAGTTTTTGACGCTAAAGTTTTTTTATGCGTCTTTTTTCGCCGTCAACTTTTAAGCTCGCGCCTTTATTCGTGTCTAGTGACGATATAGTAAAAGCTCCCAAACAACTTACTAAAAGTGTAAAAATATGTCCAAGTAGAATTTTCTTATATTCATTAGAGATACCTATGGGGCTTTCGGCAAACCCCTATGGCAGCATTGTTCATACTTATTTTAAATAAAGTTCATCGGAATTTTCTATTATATTTTTCCTTCGAGTTTTGCTCAGTAAGTGAAATAATTTATTATGCACGTAATCCGAACGAGAAGCTTTTAATAAACTCTCAAACATTCCTATTTACATGTAGTACTCGTGTAATAAATATTTAATAACAAATTTTTTTTTGTAAGTCTGCGTTCAACGTTATAATTTATGGCTAAATTTATTTGTTTTATGTCCCACATAAAAGGTAATATATTAACAAACATAAGTTTCAAAAACATTACATATTCTCCTAAAACTAAATTTTCTTTTTGAGCTAAAACTTGTTTTAGTTTAAAAATGCAATAAATTGAGTCGTTGACTTTCAAAAAATGGAAATTGAATGCAATTTATGAGTACAAACTTTCAAAGGAAAGCTAACAGAAAAGCAAGTGGAAAAATAAAGTATGTATGTACATTAGACTGCATCACCAAAAAAAAAATGTGGAAGTTTTTCCGACGGAACCAAAATATTTCGGAACAATATTAAGATTTACGCGAGCTGGACCGATTTGAAGATATCACCAAAAATGGATTTTTTTATGAATAAAAATAGTTTCTTAAAGAACTTTTTGAAAAAAATTCATCTCAGATAACAAAACAGATTGGGCGTGAATTTACATAAAAAATATTTAAAAAAAAATTTTAAATAAAAATTTGAACGGAATTGTAATAATTAGACTTTTGGTGATTTTTTTAAGTTTTTTTCAAAGATTTATTTACGAAAAACTTGAATAACTAGGCCAAAACTATTCCGTTTTAGATTTATGTGGTCCCGGTAGAAAGGTATTTTCCCACTATTTTTACTTCTGTCCAAAAAAAGTCATTCGTGTCCAAATTTCTTTTTTTCAAATACGAACACATCTTAATTCAACTTGGAATGACGTTCATCCTACCTTTCTCTTTCATTCTTTGAGTGAGTTTATTAGCAAAGAAATAAAAAAGAGTGAGCAAATACCTTTCCAATGATACCTCACAAGTCTTCATAAATCGGAATAACTTAGGATCAGTTATTAAAGTTTTTCTTATACCAATCTTTGAATAAAGATAAAAAACAGCATCAAAAATCTCATTATGATTTCGTTGAAAATTTTTTTTTTTGTAATTTTTTTTTTAATTTTTTTATGCAAATTTTTTCAGCTTGAACCGTTTTGTCATTTGAGGAGTTTTTTTTTCAAAGAAATCTTTAAGAAACTATTTTTATTCATAAAATACTCCATACATATTTTCAAACCGGCCCAGCTGACGTAAATCTTAACATTTTTCCGAAACATTTTGGTTTAAGTCTTAAAATATATTAGATTTTAAAATTCCAAAGGAAACACAGTACGGTTTTTTTTTTTGTATAGGGAGTGATGCAGTCTAATGTGAGTATGTACACATTTGTAATATTTATTTATTTTTCTCTTCTTTACCTACTCTACTATTTTGTCCACGCTCTAGTCTGTCCTTAAAATATTGCTGAAGCTAGCAATATGTATGTATGTATACTGCCATTCAATATCCGCTACAAATTGAGTCATCTCCAACATCTGTAGGTACAAAGGTATCCGGTCAAAATAAATACAATGCCAATGTGCATATATTTACTTTTGTATGGATGTGTGTTCACGTCCCACGCCAATGTAAACACTGGCCTACCACAAAAACAAAAATAAATATACATAACATGGTATGTCTCAAAATTCAAGCTTGTTAGGACCTTTGATAAGCAAGAAAAGCCCAAAACGAAAAAAAAAAAACGAAAAAGAAAAACTAGCCGGAAAGTGCTTTCAAACACCTGCGTTGCTGTGTACTTTCATTTGTTTATTTAAAGCTTCAACATATGCGGCCACTTTTTTATTTGACTGCAATTTTTCATTGCCTTACAGTTGTTTACATACGCACTCATACTCTTTCTCTCTTTTCTCTTTTGTGTTTTTTTTTTGCGGCATTTTTTTCCCGGCTCGGCAATTTCTAGTATCGCCAGATATACACACAACTATTTCTGACAACTATAAACAAGCGAAAACCAAAAGCACAACAACAAAACTGATAAAAAATACTACGATGCGTACATTCAAAACGCTGGAGGCGATGGATTTTATTGACGCCAACAGGTACAATGCCAATAAAAAGCACAACAACGTTAACAGCTATGATTCAAGTATGATGGCTAGCAGCAATAACAACACCAACAGCAACAGAAACAGAAACAGCGTCAATAGCAATAGCAATGACAACACAACAAGCATTAGGGTTCCAATCAGAGAGGAATGGAGTCGGCGGCTGGAGCATATGGTTTCTACACCTCAAACGATGACAATAATAGTCGAAAAACCCACAATGGTAAAACACACAACAACAAGAACAACAGCAACAGCAGATAGTATGCGAACTACCACAATTACAATAGCAGCAGCAAAAACAACAAAGGCAATCACAACACACAGTGATAGTGCAATAAAGATGTCGTCTGACAGCAGAGCCAATATAAATGTCAGCGACATAAAGAACAGCACAATGATATATAAGCAGCAGCTTCAAAACCAACATGATCAACATCAGCATCGGCAGCATTGGCTGAATAAGCGACATCGACGACAACAACAGAAACAAATACAGCGCGAACAACAGCTACATGGGCCAACGAAAGTTGCAGCAGCAGCAGCAGTGGCAGCGGCAACGGACAGCAGAGAAGGGAAAAAACCACAATCGTACGTTGCCAATACTTTGTTAGGCAACAAAACATCAACAGCAATGAATATTGAGACGACGACGAGGACGACGCCCAATAACGTCCGCATAAGGGGCGAAGCATTGGAAATGACAGCGGCGGCACAAACGCAAATAGCAATCAACAGTAATAGGAACAGCAACAGCAACAGCCTTACAACGGAAATAACTGCAACAACAACAACAGCATCAACAACAATGCCATCAACAATAACAATACCGGCAATAAGCACAATGCCAACAACTACACAAAGCCAACAATTTGAGTCAATGCGCATTTCTTATTACATGAACGATGCCTCTGACGACTTACAGCTGGAGCTGCTGAGGCTAAAGCTAAAACCGATGCTAAAGCAGGAGCTGGAGCTGAGGCAAGCGACGGAAACGGATGTAAAAGTGGCTGTGGCAAGGGAAGGGGAAATGAGTGTGGAAGTGGAAGTGGGTCGTCAACAACATCAACACAAATTTTCCTCTGCTTATTTAGACAACGACGAGGACTACAGCAACGACGATCAACACAATTATGCGTCACTCGAACGGTTGCCGGCGCAGCGCAGCCGTTGGGCGCGACAGGTGGAGGAGGAACCGGTAGATAAATGCCGTCAATTTGTTGAGGGCGAAGCGGAGAAAAATGAATTCTACAGTCCCGATTATCCAAACGATTACCCAAAGAACATCAACTGCACACGCATTATTACAGGTGAGTGTTCGTCGTCGTCGTACGTCGTTGTAGTCGTCAAAAGTTGAATGTTGAAAATTACGTATGCATGTATGTATGCATAGATTACTTATACGCCCCGGGCATGTGTGTGCATATGTAGTTTGTATTTACATTAGACCGCTTCAGATGGCACACAAAATAAAAAACAAAAATATTCGCAAAAATTGTATAACCCCGACAAAAATATTTGGCTTAATTTAGCTCTTTAAAAGAAACTGGAAATACGTACATATTTAGCGATATAAAAAAATTTTACATTAATTTTGGTAATTTATAACGTTTAAGTTAAAAACTTGGCATGAATTTTTGGTAAATTAAAAAACCGACATAAAAATTTGGAAGCTGGCATGATTTTGATGCATTTTTAGAGTTAACAGAAAAATTTGAAAATTTGGTTATGATTTTTGACGTCAAAAATTATTAGACATGACTTTTTGGTAATTTAAAAGCTGCTCATATTTTATTGAAAATTAAAAAAATTTTCTTGATTTTAATGCTAGACATGAATTTTTGCCAATTTCGAAAGTGGACATTTTTCTGTAAAATAAAATCTGGACAAAAATTTTTGTTAATTAAAAAATTGGAAACGATTTTTTTAACATTTCAAAAACGTGTCATACATTTTTGGTAATATAAAAAATTGACAAAAATTTTAGGCTATTTAAAAACTTGACATAGATTTTTGCTAGTTTAAAAATTAGACATTTAAACATAGTTTTATGACAGTTTAAGAACACGACATACATTTTTTAAATTTTTAAAACTGGATACAAGTTTTTGTAGCCTTAAGGCTAGACAGAACATATTTTGTTTTTTTATTTAAGTAACCAAGTATTTTATTTGAAAATTGATTACAAATTTGTGATATTTTAAAAATTGGACATACATTTTTGGTAACTTGAAAACTGGTAATGATTTTTTAATGATTTAAAAACTGCGCATAAATATTTCAAACTGGTTATAAGTTTTTGGAAATTTAAAATTGGCATGATTTTTTATCAGTTACAAAAACTAGACATCAATTTTCGGTAACATACAAATTGGGTATTGTTTTTTGGTTATATTAAAAATAGGTCATAACTTAATTAAAAATTGAACTTAAACTTTTTGAAATTTTCAAGCTAGATATAAATTTTTGGCCATTTAAAAACTACACATGCTTTGTCGACAATATAAAATCTGTTTATGTAGAGGTTGAACATACATTTTTGGTAATACTTTATGGTACAATTTTTTGGAATTTTAGAACCTATAGATGACATTTTGGTAATTAAGAAAGTGGATATTATCTGAAAATTTTAATTTAAAAACTGAACGTAATATTTTGGTAAATAAAACAAAAACTGGACATAAATATTTGGCTGTTTGAAAACTTGGTACATTGTTTTCGGAATTTTAGAAAGTTTTAAAAACTGAAAAAGTAGGTATTTTTTTCAATATTTTGAAATCTCGCCATTAACTTGTGGCCATCTAAAAATTTAATACATTTTTGGACATACTTTTTCATAGCAAGTGGATATATGTAAATATGCGACTTTGAAATATAAAAATTTTAAATAGTTAATGTGCTACATCCTAATGTACATAATGCCATACGCATATTTATAGGTAGGTAGATAGCTAACAAAACACACAAAACACCTTGAAGCGCAACAAGCGTGCAAGCAATAAGGTAAAAGCACACTGTGTGACACGTTTAAAAATGTATGTGAAAACTGAATTTTTTATTCATACCAGTACCACCAGCGCAACCATCACCACCACCATTAGTCACCCCATTCCCTACAATACATATGTACATTTCACTTGGTAGGCGCATGCATACACACACACGTACGTACATACATATTTACATGCATATGTAGCGTCGTGTGTGCGCGCCTGCCCCTGGTATTTACTGCCTGCCACATTTTCTATAACCTTATCTTATTATTTATTCATTTTTTTTCTCTCTTTTTTTCCGCATCCTTCCTTGCTTGGCCTCCTGCAGCGCCGAAAGGACAAATAATCCGTTTAGATTTTCGTAATTCATTCCACATCGAAGCGAAAGAGGAATGCAAATTTGATTTTCTCGAGGTAAGAGCACTCAATTATATGGCTCATTTGCGTGAATAAAGTGTTGAGCTGTAGTGTAAATACTTTTTTTAACTTTATCTACTATAGAAAATGCCTTCTATACTTATACATATGTATATCTAACAATATATATATAGATACGTGATGGCCAGTATGGTTTCTCGACATTGATTGGTAAATATTGTGGTACGGATTTTCCACCGGAAATCACTTCGAAAGAGCGTTACCTCTGGTTGCATTTCCATTCGGATGAGAGTATTGAGTATTCTGGTTTTACAGCTGTTTACGAATTTATCGATCGCAGTAAAGAAGGTAAGTTTGCACATACATAACTACTCGTATACGTAGATATTTATTAGGATTTAAATTTAAAGACAAATATTTATGGTTTAAGGTGATAGTGTTGCTCAATATATATAATGTTAATGTACATATGTAAGTGTGTAACTTTATTTGAAGTAGTATTTTGTTCTTTTGGCAAGTTAGAGTATTACTTTTTTCATTAGGGAATTAGTGTTTAACTCGTAGCTGATTTTAAAAGAATCCGCTCACATAAATTTCGTGCTCAGATTTTGTTTTTTAGCGCAGATATTCTTCTATTTCTGGCTTTGGGCTACTTCCAGCTAAATCCGATTGTTCCCCCTCATGTTTCGCAAGGTCTGCCAGCAGGACTGCCTCTGCCGATTAGAGGATGCCATTCCAAGACCTTATTTGTAATACTGTCATCTTCTTCGCGCAAAGTATGGCCTATCCACCTCCATTTCTGTTTTCAAATGCAGATGTTAAAGGGCCCCATGATAGACTGTCTGACACCTACTCCGTCGTATGTATTTAGATTTAAGAACAGCGAAGCACTCCTCTATGGCGCAGGGCTGTCTAAAAGCATTCATTATGTACACTATTGAAAGCCTTTTCGAAATGGCCAAAAACAGCTATGAGTGCAATAAAATTGGGGCCACCTAGCTGTTAAACAACAGTCAATGGACAAAGTAAATCTAATAAAACATGCAATCTATACTGGCAGCTCGAAAACGGGTCTATTGTCATCTCCCAGCAGATTTCATTGAGAAAGGTTTACAAACTTCCAAATTGCTGAAGTATTTAATATTCGAGCAGAGATCAATGGTATAAAAATGGCTGCAAATTTAGAAAGTCAAGTTGCCAGCAGGGAAAAAACCTACAATCCCTTCGGCAGTATCTGCCGTATCTTTATATCTGCAGAGTATCGCATTTACTTTGGCCATCGGTTGATTAACGCAGGCCTTCCCAAAGTGGGTGACGCGGCACCCTGGGGTTCCGCGAGCGTATGCCTGGGGTGCCGCTAGTGGTTAGAGTATACTAGTGGTGCGGACAAATTTTTTTGACCTTCCATACACAACGAAAGCGGTTTGATCAAACTTCAGCATGGCGGCCAGAAAAACACGAAATTTTGATTTTTATTAAAATTACCTTCAGCGGCTCGTCAAACCCCATACACAACACAAATAGCTTGCAGCAAAGGGATATTTCGCTCTTAAGCGTAGTACCCCAGTACGTTTTGTCAACGTAAAATTGAATCAGAAAATTTTCAGAAATATATCTGAAAACGTACCCTTTTCACAACCACTTTCGGTACTTTTGTAGACCTAATCCGCGTTTCATCCACTTTTCTTCCTGTTTTCGGATTAATTTTCGGATTTTT